GTGTGTGTGTGTGTGTGTGTGTGTGTGTGTGTGTGTGTGTGTGTGTGTGTGTAGTATACATTTTTGTTAAATTAAACCCATATTAATATCAGAGTGAACTCAAACACTGAATTGAAACAAATCTTCAAACGGACCTGGTCCAGCTCAGAAACTGTTTCTGTAAAATTTAACTGTTAAAAACATTTTGTTTGAAGTTCTTTCTGATTTGATGTTAAAAACGGACAAATTTTTATTTGTTTATAAAGTTTATTCATTTCTTTTTGATAAATAAAAACAAAATAGCCTAAAAATACAAATAAAAGAAAAGCAGCAGAAATAAGAAAAAATCTTGTAAAAATAAATGCAAACAATAATAATCTAAATAAATTATAAAGAACAGGGATTAGTGGTTCCAGTGATATTTTGCTAACAGACYCATGTGTGATGAAAGCAGTGGGCGTGGTCTGTCAGGATGAAGAGGAGGAGGAGGAGGATGAGGAGGAGGGGGGTCCTGCTGGTCAGTCAGCAGCAGCTTCTGGAGGGTCCGCCGGTGGATCAGCTCTCTGCTGGGGGGGACATGTGGACCAGCGGGTCCAGAACCGAACCAAGCCTCTCCTGCGGCCTGAGGAGATGGGTCCGGGTCTGAAAGACCAGGAGGAGCGGGACTGGAGCGGGACCGCCGCGGACCGACTGATCCCGGACCGGTGAGGAAGTTCTGATAGTTCTGGTTCTGGTCTTTAAACCCTATCCACAGACCAGAACCAACCTTAGACCTGTTCGGACTGGATTGTTTTATTATCTCAAAAAGAACGAACAGCGTTTTTGCACGTGTCTGTTAGCAAAAWATCTGAAGAACCTCTGGACGGATTTTGATGAAACTTGCAGACATTAATCAGTGGGTGATCCTCTACAACTGATTGGCTTTTGGAGTCAGTCTAATTAAAAATGGCCGCCACAGCCAACTTAACTTAAAAACTACAAAAACTGCCATAACTCGGTCAGATTTCCAGATATTGTGTTTAGATTTTAGGTGGTAGTAGCTGAGAGTTATTCACTCTGATTTGTGTTCATATTTAATGAGATTGTGCAGAATTATATTCAAGGTTTGACCCAAACAGCTGCAGCTCTGTCATCTTTCATCCAGCATAACACAGTGTCAGGCTTTTCATTGTCTGAACACTTTTACAATCAGCTCATTTGGATCAAAATAATATTGTTTTCAGCCAAGTTTTAAAATCAGATGGATAAATTCTGGAAAATAATCATCTAAACGCAGGAACAAATCTCCACAAAGAGCCTTAAATCAGCTGTGCTCAGGAGGAAATGATCCAGGATCCACCTGCTGGTCAGAACCAGAACWAACAAAAACTGCCTCATCCTGACAGGAGATGCGTTTCTGTGGGCTGCTGTTTGTAAAGTTACACAGTCACAAATTACCACCAATATTTCTGCTTTATTTAGACTTTTATAAGAAAAAAACAACAGATTTATTKTTCAAAGTCAGTTTTTCACCATATGATTCATACATTTATAAATGTCATAGTTTATAAACTAAATATTTAACTTACAAATTAAATATTTAGTTAACAAGCTAAATATTTAACTTGTGACTTAAATATTTAGTTTTTGATATTTAAGTTAAATATTTAGGTAGCAAGTTAAATATTTAAATATTTAGGTAGCTAGCTAAATATTTAACTTGCTACCTAAATATTCAATTTAAATATTTAGGTAGCTAGCTAGATATTTAAGTTAAATATTTAGGCAGCTCCTGTAGCTAAATATTTAAATATTTAGGTAGCTAGCTAGATATTTAAGTTAAGAAGCTAAGAAGCTAACCTGAAATTGTGTGCGCTGTAAACAACCCTGCCCTGCTGGGAGGACAGAAGCTCTGAGCTGAATGAAGTGTGTGTAGATGATGCTGCAGGCTTTCAGAGACAAATTTAATAAACTTTAAATCCTTGTCAACACAGAGTGGTTTCATTCACTTCCTCCACTGCCGATGCTGAACTACAGGCAGACTAAAACAGAGCATAAAATCGACGTCATCGTTCACAGCTCCTCCCTCTGTTTGCTGATTGGTCCGGTTAAAATTCTACCAGAGAATCCTCGTCTTTGGGAGTGAACTCTCTCTGGTCTCAGTTTGTAGTAAAGCTCTTCTCTGAGAACATAAATTAAAAAGAAATGTGTCTCTTCAGGTGGATCATCAGAGTTAAGCTTCCTGTTGGTGGATACTTCCTGTGAGCCCCCGTTCAGTGGACCAGTAGAAACTTTTCCCGCCTTGGTTTCCATCCTGCTGCCAGAATGCCCATCATCAGCAACACCAACCACGACTTCAGCACCTACTCCATCAGCAGCGACGACAGCAGCCTCGACCGCTTCTTCACCGAGATCCCGGAGACCGAGACGCTGAAGGGCGTTTACTTCCAGCGCGCCCAGCTCATCCGGGACCACAAGGCCTCGTACGTAGTGGACCACACCCTACAGGTTCTCATCAACGTCGGGGGAAACCGCTACACCTTCCCCTGGAGCACCCTGGAGCAGTTCCCCCACAGTCGACTGGGGCGCCTGCGCTCCTGCACCACCCCCGAGGAGATCGCTCGGCTCTGCGACGACTACGACGAGACGTGTCAGGAGTACTTCTTCGACCGAAACCCCACGGCCTTCAGGGTCATCCTCAACTTCCTGGCTGCAGGAAAGCTGCGTCTTCTCCGGGAACTGTGCGCCGTCTCGCTGCACGACGAGCTGGACTACTGGGGCGTGGACCCGGGCAACATGGAGCGCTGCTGTCGACGACGCATGATCACCCGTGTGGACGAGGTGGTGGAGCATGAGCGCAAAGAGGAAGAGTGGAGGAAGAAGCGGATCATGCTGAAGAAACGACCGGCGCAGACTGAGAAAGGATATCGCAGAGTGGTCTCGATGCTGAGGGAGGTGATGGAAAACCCCCACTCAGGTCTGGCTGGGAAGATGTTCGCCTGTCTCTCCATCATCATGGTTCTGATCACCGTCATCAGCCTGTGCATCAGCACCATGCCGGACCTCAGGGATGAGGAGAACAGGGTGAGTATGAAGCCTCCAAACCCACTTTGATCACTTTATACAGATTCTAGAACCTAAGCTAAGCTAACCCAAGCCAAGGTAAGCTAAGCTAAGCTAAAACAACCTAAGCTAAGCCAACCTAGTGAAAGCTAAGCTAACCCAACCCAAACTAAACTAAGCTAATCCAACCTAAGTTAAGCTAAGCTAACCCAACCCAAACTAACCCAACCTAAGCTAAGCTAACAACCCAAGCTAAGCTAAGTTAACCCAAGTCATACCCAAGCTAACCCAACCTAAGTTAAGCTAACCCAACTCAACCTAAGCTAAGCTAACCAACCCAAGCTCAGCTAAGCTAACTCAAGCCATACCCAAGCTAACCCAACCTAAGCTAACCCAACCCAACCTAAGCTAAGCTAACCCAACCTAAGTTAAGCTAAACCAACCCAACCTAACTTAAGCTAACCCAACCTAAGCTAAGCTAACCCAACCTAAGTTAAGCTAACCCAACCCAACCTAACCTAAGCTAACCCAACCTAAGTTAAGCTAACCCAACCCAACCTAACCTAAGCTAACCCAACCTAAGCTAAGCTAACCAAACCAAGCTAAGCTATGCTAACTCAAGCCATACCCAAGCTAACCCAATGTAAGCTAACCTAACCCTACCCAAGCTAAGCTAAGCTAACACAACCCAAGCTAAGCTAACCCAACCAAAGCTAAGCTAACCCAACCCAACCCAACCCAAGTTAAGCTAAGCTAACCCAACCTAGGTTAAGCTAACCCAACCAAACCTAACTTAAACTAACCCAACCTAAGCTAAGCTAACCAAACCAAGCTAAGCTATGCTAACTCAAGCCATACCCAAGCTAACCCAACGTAAGCTAACCTAACCCTACCCAAGCTAAGCTAACACAACCCAAGCTAAGCTAACCCAACCAAAGCTAAGCTAACCCAACCCAACCCAAGCTAAGCTAACCAAACCAAGCTAAGCTATGCTAACTCAAGCCATACCCAAGCTAACCCAACCTAAGCTAACCTAATCCAATCCAAGTTAAGCTAAGCTAACCTAACCCAACCTAAGCTAACCTAACCCAACCCAAGCTAAGCTACGCTAACCTAACCCAACCTAAGCTTACCTAACCCAACCCAAGCTAAGCTAAGCTAACCTAACACAACCCAAGCTAAGCTAACCCAACCAAAGCTAAGCTAACCCAACCAAAGCTAAGCTAACCCAAACCAACCCAAGCTAAGCTAACCAAACCAAGCTAAGCTATGCTAACTCAAGCCATACCCAAGCTAACCCAACCTAAGCTAACCTAACCCAACCCAAGCTAAGCTAAGCTAACCTAACCCAACCTAAGCTAAGCTAACCTGACCTGACCTGACCTGACCTGACCTGTGACTGCTGCAGACAGTAGAAGAACACAAACTCTTAATAATGATTAACAGACTGAGCTGCACTGTGGAGCAGTGGTCAGCTGACACTGCTGTGTCCTTGTGATGACTGGAAACCTGTCCGTCCARGTGAAGACAATGGATTGGTTTAAAGAATTACAGCTCAGTTTGTAGGTTTAGCCTGTAAACTGAGTTTTTCATGGTAAATCTTCACAAAATGTGTTTTTGTAAATCACAAAAATGACATGAGAGAAAGATACAAACAGAACTAGAACTGCAGGAAACAGGAGGAGAAGCAGACACAGTGCCAGACTGCAGAGACGTGAAGGACTGGTGC